AAGGCCGATATTAGCTCTCAATTATTTTATAAGATTTTCCCCCAATTTTTCATAGAAAATGAAAGAAAAAAAGATTTTATTTGCAAATAAGATGTTTCATAGTTAAAAATTTGCTATTAATAAATGCAGAAAATGAATATCTAATAAAATATGTAAACAAAAGCAAGCTGGACAATTTTATTTTTTTTACTAAAAAAATTATTTATGAAAATAAAACACAGTATTTGCGAATATTTTCGAAACCTATGGATAAGATATTCAAAAAACAAGTCACAGCTACAATGAATATGCTAGACAATCATATTCTAAAAAGAAATTCAAATGAAAATGCCAAATTTTAGAAAAAAAAAAATTTTTTTAAATATTGGCCAATCCCGATCGAAATTTAAACTGATCCAAACCAGAATTTTGTAATAATTGGAAATAGATAACATTTTCACAAGAATACTAGTTTGTTTAGGTGTAATACGGATTAAAAGATAAATGAACCTGACAATCAAATAGATTTCTTAGAGGTAAATACATAAAGAGGACGATAATTATCATTTTATTTATTTTTTGTTAATTTTTATAGGGATCAGTTTCATTTTGATCGGGATTGATCTAAATACAGCTATATTAAAATAATTATTTTCCCTTAATTTAGCAATTTCATTTCAATTTCTTTTTAAAATATGATTGACTAACATATTCTCCCTAGTTGAGACTAGTTTTATGAAGATTTTATCCACAGGTACAAAAAATATTTACAAATTTTGTGTTTTATATTCATAAATAATATTAAATAAAAAAAAAAATAAAATGTCTGTCTAACCTCTCTTTACATATTTTATTAGACATTCATATTATGCATTTATTTTAAAAATAGCAAATTTTAAACCATAAAGCATCTTTGATTTGAACGTATTTTATTGTCTATTAACTTTACAAATGGGATTGGGCAAAAGTTCTAAAAAAAAATTAACACGTCCTTTCCCTACATATAAATTATACCAAACATATTTACATATATGGTTAAAATACATAAAGACAGAAAAGCATAATAATCAGAGGAACAATATTCAATTAAATATATTTCTTAATATAATACACAGGCTGTATATAATTCGTAAAAAGTAATAATTGTATCAACCAAAACAACCTGACTTTTTAATAAATGTTTGTACAATGGAAAATAGGTATTCATTTTCAGCATCGTTTAATGTTTCATCTCCCCACAGTAAAGTGTGAGTATCAACTGTATGTAATTTTCCCATTCGCAGAAATGAGTCAAAAAATTCTTTTCTGACCTCTGTATATTTTTTTTGCATGAAAAGAAATAAAGATGATTATCCTCCACTCTTCCACAAGAACACAGGGGACTCAAAATTACATTGCATCGAGAAAGATCGCTATTAAGCACACAGTTGTGGGAAGCCTTGTATGAAAGGTTTGTTCCCGTTTTGCACACATTTGACTTTCGGGCATTAAAAAAATGTGTACAAAACGGGAATTTGTCCAGGTAAGATAATTACTTAATTGCTATAGTCTATATCATAGTTTGGAATTTGGAGAAAGATAATCTATGTAAAAAATAGGAATAAAAAAATTATTAATTTTGCATTTCATATTTTAATTGATTTATTCCGGTGATTTCATGAGAAGAAAAAGCTATTGTAAAACATAAAAAACATCATAAATACTAATCAAAACTATAATTATTTTCATATGATTATCTCTGTCTCTCACTCCCTTTCTTCTTAATTAATTAAGAATGAATTCATTCACTCATTCATTTTTATCTTTATGATTGATTGTATGTTGTTTAACGTCTCTCGAGAGAATTTTTCACTCATATGGAGACGCCACCACTTGCCGGTGGAGAGTTGCAAATTTTTTCCTATACTCGGCACTTACGGCCATTGAGCAGTGCGGGATCTTTTTCGTGCCAGCACCTGCTGCGACACGGGACCTCGGTTTTTATACGGTCTCATCCGAAGGACCGGTCTCCACGTCCCACAGTGGGATTCGAACCCGCGACGTAAGGATCAACTCCTTACTTCGCGACTCTAGAGCAGACGCTCTAACCACTGCGCCACGCGGGCGACTATCTTTATGAATAAAAGGGGTAACTGCGATAGGGGTATTTGTCCAAATTATTAACTTCATCTTCAGTTGGGTTGGACAAATTAAATTTTCAAAATTTATTTTTTAAATTTATATTATAGTGCATTGGTAAAATACAGGTAATTCCAGGTAAATCCCGAACAGAGATCAGACTATAATTGCTATCAAAACATATTTCACACCTATTGTTCTATTCCTAATTATCAAATGTGTGCAAAACTGGAACACACCGTATGCAATATATTTAAGCGTCGAATCCCGTAACTGAAATAAGAGGGTGGCATAGGTTTATTATAAGAAATGGACTTTTTAAAGATAGACAATGAGGAAGAATTTCTTACAATAAGAGGTAATGAGTTCAATTCATCAATAACAAGGGGGATGAAAGTTGACTTGTATGTTTGCAATCTGCATTCAGGTAACTATGCTATAGTTATACGAATTTCTCGTACTGTAACTTGATGAATTACAACGCAAATTTGGGATTATATCAGTTAGATATTTAGGAACTTGGTTATTGTAGTTAATCTAGTATTTTTTTCTTCTTTAATGTAATGGATCCCAACCAGTTTCAAAGTATAGTGCATTTTAAGAAACTAATAGAGTTAAGAGCTAATTTTTCGCAATCGCCTACATTACATCCACCCCACGCCAAGGAAGCATATTCTAATTGGAGTCTAAGAAAGGTTGTGTACATGAGTGAAATAGTTTTCCGATTTACAGCAAATTTGATTTTTTAAATAAGCTTCATTTTCTCAGAAAAATACCCCCCAAAATCGTATTAAATAATTAAGAGCTAAGAGCTAATATCAGTCTTTCAGTGCTGCAACCATAGTTTAAAAGAATGTCTTAAAGATCTATTAAATAGAATTTTGGTGTGGCATTCCTCCTTAAATTATGAAAAGGACTGGGGAAGGAGGTAGAAAACATGTTAGAAATTCAATAACTGCAGTGCATGATTTGGAGACAAGCCAAGGCCATCTTTAAAAAAAATGTTTGTTAACTTTCTCCCGACCGACTGGCTAAAATGGCCCTCCTAGTCAATATTCTACGGGGGTCACTTTTCGTCAATACAGCGGAAAAGAAAATGAAAACTTATGCAAATGTCTCTGTTTTACAGGGAAAGTTTCGCGTTTATTCGCAAAAGTTTCGCGTTATAACGCGAAAGTTTCGCGTTATAACGCAAAAAATATTTTTTTTACCTGCGAAAATGAGCTCAGTGGCCTTTCGTATTACGACGACGAGTCTTGAGTAACATTTGTTGGTATATGTTTTTATACTAGAAATATTACTGAAAGTTATAATAACAAATTACTTTTGCCTAGTTTAAAATATCTAGTAATATCTGTCGGTGTTTCTTTTTACCCTAGGAAAAGTACCTATGTGTGGGAATTTTTATATGTGTCTTTTGTAAATCATTTTAATGGCTAATGTTAGATCTGAAAGATCTGTAAAAACATTCGTGGTGGTGGTGGGGGCGTAACCACTAAATTTGCAACATACAATATATACAGTTGTTCTACCTTCAGACGCCTGTGACTTTTTTTTATTAATTGTCGAGGGAATTATGTTGGGCTGTGCGCCCCCCCCCCCCCCCCCCCCCCACACACACACCCTGAAATTGCTTTTCCTTGCCTGAAATCAACTGTTTTTACATAGAGTAAAGTAAAAGGCCTTTATGATATTTTATTAGTATTTCTGATATAAATGCATAATTATACCAACAAATATAACCCAAGATCCTACTAATCCCCCCCCCTTTTTTCTGACGTTTATACGGTAAGCCTTTAATACACCCCCATCAAAAAATCTATTGAATTATTTGCCTGCAAGGAAATGTGGGAATTAGATGTATTGTATTTCAGAGAGAATACTCTTTCCTCCTATTTATTCCTTCCTTGCCTTCACTGTTTAAAAATTTCTGAATCCGCCAATTTTCGTTATTATTGTAATCTATCATAGGGTTTATTCAATTAAGCATGCGCATTAAAGATAATAAAACAGGCAATATCATCTATGCACAGTGACAGTTGGCAGTAAGCAGTTGGCAGTAAGCAGTGAGCAGTTGGCAGTAAGCAGTTGGCTGTCGTATATGGAATTCCATACAATACAACCCATCATACGTCTCCAAAATATTATAGCCTTAATGTAATTTACCCAGCTCTTTATCGAATTTAAATAAAACTGTAAAATTTGATAACAAATTATTATTGGCTTCAAAGTAAGTCGCTATCCATCCTCTACAAGAACTCGTATTCTATAAGACTTTACCAGTATTGTAAATGAAAAACTTGTTTATAATTAGGAACTACAGTAATTCATGTTTATGTCAAGCAATCTGACTATATATTCCAAAAAAACAGACATTTCTTTTTGCTATTGAGATATCTATTTGACTTAGAGGGACATTTCTTTTTTTGCTTCAGAGATATTTCTTTTAACCTAGAAAGATATCTATTCAAACCTCAACGTATTTGTCGGAATAGATATATTAATCAAAAGATAAAAAAAATCAAATTTCAAAAATTTTTCTTTCTTCTCGGAAAGGAAATTTTGACACCAATCCCCCTACCACCACACGTAATATATGGTTAATTATCTTTTCTGGTTGCCCCCGTCCTCCTCCATCCCCTAACATTGAAAAACGATGCTACATTCCAGTGCCCGGAATGCTTGTACTGTGGGATTTTTTTTTAATGAAATTTAACCGAAGTGCAGCCAAATCTTAATTGATAAATATGAGAGAGAGAGAGAGAGAGAGAGAGAGAGAGAGAGAGAGAGAGAGAGAGATCTGTTACATATACTAACATCACAAATAGTCGACGTCATAGTGCTTATGACGTCATAATAGCATTGCTTGATGTGGAAAGCGTGATTTAGTCGTGAGGCAATACAACAAAATGGGTTTATTCCATAGTTGCATGCGGAAGAATAAAGTAGGCATCCTGTCAGATGAGGAGGAAGCTGCCTACAAAAAGATAGAGAAGGTGAACAATGAAGATGTGGAAAAGGAGGTTCACACTCCATCTCTCCTAGACGCCATGTTTTGTGTGACACCAAACGAAGTCCCTGGCGACACCAAAAATACTGATGAACCTAGATCAGGTGGCACTAGATCAGAGGTTATTAAAAAGAGTGAGTTGGTGCACCTCACCTACAAGTCGAGTGTTCCCAAACTACCTCCGATCAATGGGAACATCATGAGAATATTGATTCTCCCAACTGACAACGAGGCCGCCTACCAGAAATGGAAAGGTAAAATGAAATCTTTTTAAATTCCTTGATTAAAAATTTTCCTGAAATTCATAATGACTGAAATTATGTAAAGCCATCATATTTGATAGCAGAAGAAACCCACAAAGTTCTTCAGGAGAAGGGTCTCTTGAAAAAAGACAAGCTGGGGGAAAGAAGAAAACTGAATGAACGGGGCAAACTGAAAAACTAAAGAGAGAGAGAGAGACACAGATACTTATATGTTCATTATTAAGTTAACATTATGTAACAGCACATCGAACAGCTGTCATCTTCCAAATTACAATGATCACGGCGTGAAGATTTATTTATTTATTTGCTTATTTTAAATTATTATCTCAGTTTAAGAATAGAGATGACACCGAGCCTTTCTTTTTCTCAGTTTCACAAGATTTGGCTATTGATGTATTATACGACTTTCTTTTTTTTTCTCTTCCGACCGTATATTTTCATTAAAATTTCAAGATGTTGGCCTCGAAGACAGATTTTAGGCTCACATTGATGACAAAATTTACTTTTTCAAAATTAAAGTTCCGTTGTCCTCTCTTGTTTAATTTATAATACATGTATTTTTTTTTTATTTGAAAAAAAAACAATAAACTTTATAATGATCACATTTATTGTCCTCTGTGGCTTTTGATATTCTTGAAATGAAGCTAGGGAAAATTGACAGCTGCAAATTGAAATGTTTTCTCTCCAACGTCTACTTTCTTGTGTTTGACCCATATGCACAAGGAATTAATCACCACTTTTTAAGGCCCTCCCCTTTTGTGACCAAAAATATACATAAGATTATTAAATCAATTTTTGTGTATGATATTGTATTAATTTTACCTAAAATATAACTAAATAAGTAAAAAAAAAATGTTCCAAAAACGACTAAAACCCGAGAGCATTGAGCAGGGGGGAGACCCCTTGGGCCACCATCCCGAGTCCTAACTGTCGCCCCCTCCCCTTTTGAAGAATATTGGATCCGCCACTGTTTCACTCCATCATGAGACACTCGACGATGGGTTTTTGTTTAAAACCACTGAAGAGAAATGCTACAAATTTTCCTATTTTTTAAATATTATTTTTTGGGGGTGTAACTTCAGTCCAGCAACACTTTTGTTATGATTCAATAACTTCATTACAATTTACTAAAATACACAATATCTTTATAAAAAAAAATCTGGGTTATATATTTTATAGAAATAATTCAGACATATGCAATTACACTGAAAGTCTTGTGTATTTCCATAATAAGTTGTGACATCAACGGGACGGTATACGTTTCTCTAGTAAAGCTTATGGAGTTGAAAAATAATGTATATGGAGGAAATTCAAACCTGGAGCACAGCCAATTAGTATGAATGGTTTGTTTCTTATAGGGTCGGGTTTCACAAAACTATCGTAAGATTTGTCCTAAGATAGATCTTAAAAGATGTGACTTATGATAATCATAAGATTTGTCACTGCTGTTTCACAAAACTATCTTAAGTATAAAAACTCTTAAAGACAAGTCTTAAGAGAAATTTCATGCTTCAATGTCACAAGGAAATTTTTAAAATATGTTTGCAGGAAGTTTAGTTGTCCTTCTAACATTTTCTTTAAAATATTGAAATAATTGTGTGTCTCAAATAATTTCTTTTGCAGTTATACTCTGTCAAAAAAAAAACAAACATGTTATTCCATCAGCTTCAATGTACTTTGGAAAGGGAGGGGGTCAGAAAAGCTAATATGAATAAATTTCATTACAAAAATCTTATTGAATAAATTTTGCTTAAATGTCTTTTTGTCTTTTTGCTCAGAAAGTAATAACGTTGCTGACAAAATATTTGTGATAATACTTTTGATTAAATCCTCAACTGCATTTATGCTTTTGCAAATAATAAATGATTTTCAAATAAATTCAGTTGAAACGCCAACTCGTGTTCAAAGCCCCCCCCCCTCCCCCCCCCTTCGGTTCGTTCATAAAAATCTATGTAGGTGTCTCTGAAACGCTGAACTACTGCAACAAAATAACAGTGCGGGAGACGATATAGAGAAACGAAAGAACATGTACAATTTTCAATCAGAATTTAACTTTCAAATGCTATGAAGAAAACATGCAGCACCTCATGGTACAGCAGTATTTATAATGAGTTTTCATATACATTCCAGAGGATTATTGTCGCTTACCTCAAAAACTTAAACTATTTGATTTTCCTCTAATTTTGTAAGACTGAAAGACATGTTTAGTTTCTATAGAAAAAAAATCACCACAATGTAACAAAATAATTAAATGTAAAAGTTCTTAAATATGCAGAATGGCTACATCAAAGTTCGATTTTGTTTACTTTCAAGGGCTGGACTTGTTCAAACCACAAAAAATGTTTATACCGGGGGTATTTCGTGTTTTTCTTTATTCAAAATGAATTTACATAACATATCAATAAATCAATTACATGTATCTCGAATTGCTTTAGCCATTTTCAAATTGCACAAGTAGCGATGCTTTGTCATAGAAAATATGATGATATGATGAAAATATGATGAATTCAAAATTAAATTATTTTGAATGAAGTTATAAATGTTATCTGGATCTTACATACATATATACATGGCCGATAGAAACAAGTTCTGGGGGAGTGGAGGTTCAGTTGAGAGGGGGCACAAGCAAACAAAAATGGTTTAATTTGAAAAAAATATTGTGGCACAACCATAAAGTAGGTACATTTTATGTTTCTATCGTATACTATTTATTGGCAAAATTATTAGGTGAAAAAAGGGGGGGGGGGTCAATGTTCTGACTGGCGTAATACAGTCCAAAGGATTGATCTATCTCTAGAAAAACGTTTTCCTTTGAAAATCATTTGGTTTTGAGCCAAAAGATATACTGTTGCAGTGTTCACTTTAGACTTAAGACAGGTATCTAGTTGTCTTAAGATTAAGATAGATCTTAAGATTTTCATAAGATATGAAAGTTTTGTGAAACAGCTATGGTGCAATCTAAAGATAATTTTTTGGTCTTAAGACAGATTTTAGTCATAAGATAGTTTTGTGAAACGGGCCCCTGCTTTTTTGTTTATTATAACACTTGAAACCGTGTATTTTTGTGACAATAGAAAATCTAAGCAACTGTAAGAAATGACTATTCCAGGTAGTGGGTGTATTCAGCAAAAGCATGTTTATTTTGTTACTTAATCGATAAACAAAACAATGATGCGTGTCATATAAATAAACATACCTAAATGTGTCGCACAAAGTATCCTGAATATGACTATATACAGTTTACGCGATATAAATACCCTAAAAATAGTGTTTTCTTCTTCTCATGTAAAAGTTTGAATAAATTTTGCTTCACATGAATACAAAAACAGGTCGGCTTCTAGGACCACAATTAGTGCTCATCGACATTCCAACATTTAGTTAAAAGTCCTGGCTCAGGATCATGAAACAGACTTATGCTTAAGTCAAATTTTCAATAGCATGTAAAATGTTCATTGAGTTAATCTCTTAATTTGCAGATAACAACGCTTTTCAATTAAAGCAATTTTGAATAATATTTTGATTTTGGGGTGCTTTATTTGTAATAAATGCTGTTATGAGTCCATATTTAAAGTATCCATGAATTTACAGTCCTTATTTGACCCCGTAGGAAACTTGGTCAACGTTTATAATTGCTGTAAGAGAATTAATGTACATATAATGTTGAAATATATAGAATGAATATGATAGGCTATATGAACACACTGTGATGAATACAAATTGTACATAAGTGTTTATCATTAAAGAGAGAGAGAGAGAGGGGGGGGGTGGGAACACAAATTTTTCACAGACTCATTAATAATGATATATTATATCTAAGTAGACCATAGGGTCTTTCTAGACTGCGAACTGCGTATTGACGCAGGATGCATTTCTGGATATAAAGAAGATGGGGGGGGGGGGCGAGCGAAATACCTTTAGTTTCAAATGTATCAAAAAACAATTCAACTTGTGAACTATATAGAGTAAAGATGTGATATTATGAGAACTCATCTTTACTGTGCAAAAATTATACTACGGTAAAAATAATAAGAATTTTTGGGGAATCGAACAAGGCCATAAAAAGCTTGCGTATCAGTTTATTTCTTAGAGAATAACACGTTAACCACACAACACACAACTTATATGTAATATGCCCTTTGAACTAACTGTACTTCAACTATTTTTTTGGAAAGATACGATTGTTGTGTCATAAAAGTGTATTTTTAAGGTAGAGTGGGTCCTTTCTTTGCGTTATTTAGCAAAAATATATATTTTTATGTATACTTTGAAGGTTTACGTTCAAAAAAAAAAAAAGAAATGGAGCGAAAACCGACTTATATAGTGAAATTGTGTTACAATATGAAGAAATGATCATTTTCCCTCTTTGGTAGACGAATAATTGCAATACTTGTGATATTGTTGCAAAATTTGGCTATTTTACTTAAAGTATACATAAATATTAACTGACATATATCAAAGAAAATTTTATTATAATTGAGATTTGTTTACTTCACCATAGGCGTTTTTTCCCTTAACTTAACCGCCATCTTCTTAAAAGGCTTTTTATCACGTACTAAAAATGAAAGACTATTTATTATATTCTTGAAATATATAATTCTCGTTTTACTTTTTTGGTTTAACTTTTTAATATAATGTTATGGACTTTAAAAAAAGTGACTTTTAGTAACTTTAATGTTCATATTATGCTAAGATTATCTTTTTTTTTTTTTTTTTTTTTTTTTTTTTTTTTTTTGTTACAACGTATAGATGTCGCTTTATATTGATTTTAATCACGTGATCTTCATTGCATGTACAAAAACCATGATTTGTGTTGAATTAGTCAGTCTGTTGGCTCGCTTGGTTCTGAATAAGAACCATAGTTCCTGAATAAGGAAATACAAATAGATGCTAAGAAAGTCCTGAATAAGGCAAATATTTCTGAAAAAGGAAGGGAAACAATTCTCAGTCTGAATAAGGTTACAAATATATGTAGTGCTGACGCCATATTGTTTGTTGATGATAGACTTCCAATAAATTATATAAAACCACAATTTCCCAAACGAACCCCGTAACAAATTGGTGGCAGCGGTGGGATTGGAAAGTATCAGCCTTCAGACTAAATGGCATCAGGAGGCGAAGATAAAGACAAACAGAATTGGGGACACATTGCGAAACGGCGCACAAGAAGGAAACCAGTGCGCG